ACGAAGCGCTTCGTGGGAGGCAACCCACACTTTTAATAACTTAGTTTTCCTTTGTGTTTTGTTAATTTTAGGAAATAAAAATGGGGCCTTACTGGTGAAAGCTAGAAGGCAGCAGTTGGTGTTACATTATCCTCTGTGAGTCTCCCTTCTCGATCTTGTTCTCAAACATTGGGGTCAATGTTTAGTTCAAGTTTGGGGGGGGGGGGGGGGGGGGGATTTACTACTTTGCTTTGCGGTTTATTTTTTTGCTTTGTAAAACCATTCGTTGAAGTTTGTTTCAAAGTTTGAGCGAAACTTTTTATTTTAAACAAGAGCTTGTAATTCAAAGAGATCGAGGAAGTATATAGAGATAAATGGATGATTGTTTGAGGGTAGAAAGTTAGGACTAATGTGACTGTGATACGAGTCTAACGTGTAGATTTGTACCATAGTGCTTATTTTCTGGAAAGTACTATTTGAGTAGTTTGTTTTAACAGTCTGGCATAATCTAGATTCACATGCACGAGTGTTGGTTGAGAAATAAATAATTTTGACACCAAAGGATGAAAAGGAGGTAAAAGGAAGTCGGCCTGCTAAGTTGGGTAATCCTCATCCGATTATTCAGCCCAAAGAGGATTGCTCCTCAAACATCGTCCAAATAAGGATAATATATAACTGCAAAGTTTGAAAATTTCATCGGTAATTAAAAGTAGCAAATGCTGCTCATTTGGTGTCTGAGCAAAAAAAAATTCTTGAGTGGTCTTGTCCATGTGATGATAACCATAATTCTCATTGCCTTAATTTGATTGTCTAAATAAAAGAGATGGAAAATCGGAAAGAAACTTAGTACAAAGCATAGTTAGAGAGGTATCTGAAGAGGAAACTCTGGTTTAAAAGGTTCTTACAAAAAAACTCTTCGCATCATGTGAATATCAGACGGACTACCTCTTGAACAAATTAACCAGAAGTCTCACGTATAAGTACCAGCATGTTGTGAATTTTATGAGCTCTTGTAATTGTCGCTTAAGGTCAAGCAACAGTTTAAGTTTAGGGGAGTTTGATCAGTAGTTTTTGCACCTTTATTTATCTGTAATTTTAGTTAATCTTCTCGTTGTTTTCAAGTACTTTATTTCCCTTTTTATCCATATTTCATGCTTTAGTTGTGTCTCTTTAGTGTTTTCAGATTCATATGCTTTTGGGTCATTTTGGAAAGGTATAGTATGCTTTGCAGGACAAATATACAGAGAACAGAATGAGGATTATGGAGTAGCTGGCCAAACGCATGTCCAAGTTTGTGTGGAACAGAAATTAATGCATTCCTCTACCGAGACGCGTGCCAGCCTATGAAATCATCCAAAATTGGGTCTCCCCACCCAAATGCGTGCCAAGACATGTGTCACAGTCACATAAAACAAAAAACAAGCATCACTCTGGTCAGACACGTGCCTAGATGCGTTTTAGAAGTCATATGTGTTCCCAGACGATGGCCTTGTATTCTGTGAGCACCACTTCTTCCCAAACGCATCCCCAAACGCGTGTCATCTCCTGCAAGAAGTCAGAAAATGAACCCCTCGATTCAAACGCGTCCCAAAACACATGTCAAGTGGAAGAAATAGACAGGAAAACCATCTCCCTGGTCAGACGCGTCCCCAGACGCGTGCCACTACCCCATGTGCGTCCCAAGACACGTGTGCATGTAAAGTCATCGACTTTTTAGTCTGAAGGACCAAAGGCAAAATAAAAGGATGGAATGCGTTTGTACAAGGGTTGGTTGATTTTGGATGCAAAAGAACACTGTAGAAGGCTGGAGAACTCAGATTTTATGCTAGGATTGAGGATTTCATGAGCTCTTGCAATTGAAGACCGAATTTTCATCATTAATCTGTAATATCTACAATTAACACTATATTTTCTGTTAATTTTATGAGTAGCTAAACCCCCTAATGCTAGGAGGATGACCCTGATCTTGATCTATAATGAATCAGATTATACTTTTGTAATGACAATTTGGGTTGTTTTAAATTGATTTGTTCTCTTACAGCTTTTTATTACTTTTTTTGTTGGACAAACGAAAATTGATTCGTGTGATACAATTAAGCCTGACAAGTTATTGTTCATGATTTGTTGGAGAACATATTCAAGTAGATATTACCTAGGACTAGGGGTATCCTTCGATAACCGGAATATGCTTGATATTGGAAAGCTTAATTTCAACTGTAATTTTCTATAGACATAGTAATTAGGTTGAAGGATTAAAGAATTTTACCTGAGGACTTAGGAATAATAATAACTCATAAGAACCGATAGTCAATTATTCAAACCAGTTGTTGCAAGGTATGATCAGATTCGTTGCATGATTGGATTAGACACTGACCCTAGCATACTACTCATATCTATTTATTTCATCTGAATACTTTAGTATTTTATTCGAAAGTTGTGTAAAATTCAATGATTCCAAAAACCATAGCTTTTGTTTATTGAACTGAAAAACAAATCAATATTTCGTCGCATATAATATTAGGATTGGTCTTAGATTTTATCTTAAATTAGGAGGATGGTCCAAAGTTGGTCCTTATCTTAGAGACAAACACCAACCAAGGGACAAACTCCAAATATCTTCTAATACAATTTAAAGAAGTAATCACTTGGAGTCCAAAATTTGTTGTAGCTAAGATTTGAACACAAGTACACTTGATTGCATGATAACATATCAAACCACTACACCATCCATACTTTTCTAATTTCTTTTACAAAACGTTAATATATTCAACCCAACTTTTGTTCATCATCTTTCCATCAATATATATTCAATCCATCTTTTGTTCATCATCTTCCCAAAGTCCATACAAGAGAAACCATAATTTCTATTAATTATTCCATAAAAAAACTATCATAAACAAACTTATAACAACAACATTAGCAACGCCTCACTTTGTGAGAGGATCTTTGAATTTTTTTAATTTTTGTTTCAGTAGGATAAAAGATATTAAGGTAGCCATTTTTGTTTCATGGTTAATTATTTTTTATTTTTGGCACTTCCTACTTTGACAACTTGCACCTGGGAGAATGCCATTAGCACACATATAGCATGTGCTGCTTATACCAGTTTTCTGTACATGTATCTTCACTTAATTTCTGCTACGAAATTTCTGCAGGTTACATCCTCTTCATCTACAAGTATGTAGTTTTTCAGTCATAAAAACTTGTTCAAATCAATGATATTTTTAGGTTACATGTTGATATATTCTGATATACCCCACTAGATTGATAATGTAATGTTTCAAACTCTACACACTAATACTAACTTGGAAAGTTAGCACAACTTCCAATAGACTACACGCTTCTGGTATCATTCTATGGTAAGGCTCGCACACTGTTACTAACTTTGAAAGTGCTTTCAAGATTCAATTCGAAATGTTGGTAATTTAGTTCCTGTATACATGAACAAATCTTGTTGTAAGATGAGATAATTTATTATATTCTTACCACACTCTTTATTCAGCCTCGATATTCAAGAACATAATCAATGAATCAGTAAATTAAGGGATTTCATTCACCTGCAAGAAAGATCACGACACTCACATGCAAAGGGTTTATAATCTAAAGTTTAACAAAACAATAACCAAAATAACTTGCATCAGATTAACTTCTTTGTTGCCAATTTCTTAGCAGACATGGGGTCAGATTCTACATTGAATCTCTCAATTCTATCTTCTGCCACCAATGAAGATGTTTTCAAGACCTGCATTCATATCTCAACTGCAATATCAATCAAACATTATATACCAAAATTTAATACTACCCTTAGAAGAAGATTGTGATTTTGGAGGTGGTGTATCAGGAATATGCTTCCAGGCTTCCAACATTTGAGTCATAACTTCACGAACTAATTTTACCTACACCAAAAAACACACACTCCTAATTCTCTATTAAATTACCATAAATGAACACTAAGAATAACAACCGGGTTAAAAATAGAAAAACCTTACCATTCTCAAAAACTTTCAAATAATCAGACTTGAACTCAGACAAAAAATCTCTCTCGATGTTAGCCAACACCACCAGCGTCTCGCCGCGGCCTTCTTCACCGCCCACTCGTGATTACTCAATAATTCCACCAAGCATGGAATCAAATTCTTCAAGGAAACGTGATCGGACGTCTCACTGGCTTCAACGAGGCTTCTGATCAGCGTCAACAATACCTGTTTATCCTTATAAAGAAGATGGAAAAGAGAGAAAAAGAAAGAACTTTACTGAAACGAAAGTTGTACAGGCTTGAGAAGAAGTTGAATGGAGTGAGAATGAAATGTAGGGTTTATGAAATCAAATGGAAATGAAAAGTTGAAAGAAGAAGTTGGATGAGAACTGAAACGTTGCATTGAGTTATGTATTTTCAAATAAAATGAAATAAATTAGATTCAAAACATAATCAGTATTGATTAGCCGTGCATCCTCAAAAAAATGTGATTGATCAATCAAAGGAAATAATATTTTCATCTTAACCAGAACAAACATAAACTTACTATTAATGACCTATGATAATAAGTTATCACTTCATTGATCACACAACTAAATAACTTGTACTATAGGTAATCCAGTTACTTGCTATGTAAGGAATAAATTCAACAATTCTCTCTCTTACCTTTATTTTATTTTTTTTAAATTTATGCGAAATGGTCAATTGAGTCTATCATTGTGAGACGGAGTAAGTAGTAAATCAATTCTAGCTTTTCAATTCTTACAATATTTTTGAAGCAGCTTCAAATAACAATAAAATAATGATATATAATTATACAATTACAAACAACAACTGGATTTTGAAATCAACATGAAAAACTATCAATACTACTACTATACATACAACAGCTCTCAAATAGTTATATAAACATACACAAATTATCTTCATTTCCTTACAGAAAATGAATTTTTTTTTTACCTGTGAAGCTATATACCCGCCAAAAAAACAACAAAATGCTAGTCATAACTTTTATTTGAAATTTAGTACTGTATAATAACAAACTTCATGGCCCCATTAGTATTCTTCCCATATTCTGCGTGCAAGGATACGCAGAACGGTTCAAAGACGAACCATCATTCCTATTTTCGCTAGAACCAAATGGATTTGAACTGTTATTTAGAACACCATAGTATACCGGAACCGATGTAGTATGAACAAACTTGAAATTGGAATTGCTTGTGTGAATTTGACTGCTATTGCCGATTTCAGAAAGCAGCATTTGCCTTCGGCCGTTCGATCTGTTTTCAGTTGCTGAGTTGATTCCCATTCCAAGGTTAAGACTAATAGTATCACTTTCTTCCAACTTTATCCTTGTCGCTTCAATTGAAACTGCATGTCTTGACATGTCATGGCTACTATTCTTTGCAGCAGGTACATTGTGATTGTGTTTACCTTCGTATGTTGTTATTACAGCTTTCGGATCATGTGATGCCCTCTCCACGTGTTTTCTCACGGGGCAACCCGTGTTTGTGCATTTGTAATAACTCCTGCATAATCAGAATGATAGTAAGATACACGATAAACAACGAATATGTAGTGAAGTGCCATGTTATAGTGCGTGTTTGGAATCACGTTGCGTTTGATGAAATTACAGTGGCGTCGTGATTTTGCTGAAGCCTATTTCCAAGTTTCATATGAGGATATACCTTGGGTTAGGATTTCCTCTCACCACCTTCTGTCCATATTTACGCCAGCGGTATCCATCATCCAATATATCAACTTCGCTCATAGTCTGTACAACAACTCGCGGCTCTCGGATCGGCTTAACAATAGGAATGATTTCAGCATTTCCAAGTTCCATTTTTCTGTTCAATAAAATAAAACATGGTTAGTAAGCAAGCACACATGCTGAAAAAAACCTAAACTTTAACTGGCCTCAGTAGTCATACCTTCGCTTGGAGAAGGGATCATCATCATCAACCTCGTCATTTGTCCTAGTCGACGCAAATCCAGCACCGTCTGGACTAAGATCAATTGTTGTCACGGGCGATTGCTCTGGACTATTGGATGCTTTGTCTACCCTATTATCGGACCTCTCTCCTTGCGTAGACATAACAGAACCAGCAGAGTATCGGTTGTTTGGTTGAGGTTTAGGATGATCATGTGTTCCCTTATAAATAATCTCGGTGATTTGACCGTCATGAGAGCGTTCGAAAAGTTTTTTCACTTCACAGTTAGGATGCGTACATTTGTAATAGCTGCGCGGAAATTCACTCCCTTTAACATGTTTTTGTCCATACTTTCGCCAATTGTATCCATCGTTCGAGGATTGAAGTCCATTAGCTCCGTTGCCTTTGAGGTTAAGTTCATTCGAATCGACATCAACGGGAGCACAAGTGCCGGAACTAACCATTTGAACAGGTGATGATAGACTTAATTCGTTAGATTGATCTTCTATCTCATTTTCATTTAATGGGGAGGAACGAAACGACTGAACTTTTCCTTTACCTTCTACTTGAGTAGATTGTTCACGCGCATCGTTGTTGAAGTCTGCAGGAACCTTAACATGAGTAAATAGCATTGGATAAGTACTAAGCAGTTAGTAATCTTCAAAACAATATAAACTAAAACACGATACCAATTTCTTTTCAGCAAAGCCTTACTAATATCAATTACCATATTTCTATCATGTGGTTTAAACTCAAAGAAACTTGATTTTCTGCCATTAACAGCGCTGTTATTGAAGCATGCAGAGGTTACAGAAAACGTAGCAGAACCAGTAGAAGCCATAGAACAATGTAAAGCTTGAAGAAAGGACCCAGTAGTTGGTGATGGTTCCACCTGCAAAGCAATGGAACAAATAATACTTAAACTACAACTTGCGTAACTACATGCAACGACGGATGAATAAAAAAAAATCTTTTAATTCAAATCCACAAAGATTGATAACCTGATAAAGATAGTATAGTTCACTATAATACATGGAAGCTACTTATATAATCAATCATATCTTAGAAAAGCGGCTCCAATATGATTGTTGCACAGAACTCTAAACAAATTAAGACCGTCGTTGAGGACATTAACAACTAGATTCTTCTAGAAAATCATGTCCTTTTCACATTTCTAAATTCACAATCTAATTGAAATTCCTTGTACTATACACTATTCTCTAAGCATACACAACTAAAATCAATCCATTAATCATTGGCAAAGCATTGATTCGTCTGTCCCACATAGTGCAGTACAAACCAATAACACTTTTCTGTCCACTCAGCTACACCGTTAAATATAAAAACGGGCAGGAACCAATCAAGATGAAGATTCATTATGTAAAAAAACAACACTGGCAATAAAATAATAAAAAAAGAATGCTCTGGCATCTTAAGTTTTCGGAGACTCTGAGTAGATTAACCACAGTTTAAGTGTGACAAATTTTGTCATTATTTAACCGCCACACGTAATTTATGAGACCCATTTTAGCCACAATTTAAAAACATGTCAAATTTTGGAACCTGTACGATACCCCGCCTTACACACCCACAAAAACGGCAGGAAAAATGTCATGTGATTCTCAACCAGCTAAGCATTTGAGCATAAAGCAGCCAATACAAAATTCTATAAGCACAAGCATCAAAACCTAACCAACTCATATACATAAATGAAAGATGAAATCAAACAAGGAAATTTTTTTTTCTAAATATTAAAAAAAACATCATTTCGCCACGAGATTAAACAAGAAGCATATAAGAATCTATAACTTTATCATTTTTGGAATTTTCAGCTCATCAGCATTCACATCTAGTAATCTTAAGTCATCAAATATTCCTTTCAAAAAATAAAATTTGAGACCACTCACTCACCACCCAGATATGCAAAATTTGGCTGCCAGAATTTATGTAGCATTGACATCTCTAATCCGTATCCGAAACCGACAACACTTATAATTACATTAAATTTTTTCAAATTATTATCAATGTCAACGTATCAATTTCGGTGTGTGTTTCGGTGTCCATGTTTCAGAGTGTGGACCAAATTGCAAGAAAAATTAACAGCGAAAAGAACAAATTCTTGATAAGCCAATTATAATAAGTGATTATTACCTATAATTGATTTTTTTCATTTTCAATTTTGCAACAGAAAACTTAACACGATTTAAAAAAAATATCCTTCTAACTACATTGTTACTATTTTACCCTCACCAAACACTGCAACTTTGGAGGCAAAGAAACAGTAAACTCACCTTCATGTCAGAAAGAAGAACAGGCGACTCCAAAAACGACGTCGGACTTAACACCGGAGGTATTGTGACACACGGCGACCGCGAGATCGGAAGCTTCGCCGGAGACAAAAGCTTGTACCCTCGCCATCGAATTGTGACTCGACACTGTTCGATTCGCTTCGAGCTGAACCTCCGAACTCGAGTTGGACTCGCCGGAGTTGGTGGTGGTAGCATCCATTGCGACGGTGGTGGAGTCGCCGAGAGTTAAGATAGAAGAAGGGAAAAGAAGAAGGGTATAAAGGTCATTTCATATTTTATTTGTCAGAGTTAGTTGACTTGAAGCGTTAGAACAATCTCTTTCTCTCTCTAAAATATCTATCTTGATATCTGTTCGTGTGTGACTCAATGTTCTGTTTCTGTGTCATTGCTTTCTCAATTTAAACTATTTTTCTTTTACCTTTTTTTTTCCTTCTCAGCAACTCTTTTCAACCGAAAAATAGTTAATACACCTATTAGCATAATGATTGGAATTTATTTAGTGTAGTAATTTCTAGGTTAATATTAGCTCTAGGTTA